AATATATTTTGCAAGTCTTTCATTTGGTGTGGAGATATTTATTATTATTATGTCCTCTTGTTCTATTGAACCTTTAATCATTATGTAGTGACCTTCCTTGTCCTTTGTGATTGTTTTTGCTTTGGAATTTATTTTTCAGAGATTAATATCCCTGCTCCTGCTTTTTTTCTGGTTGCCATTTGCTTGCTATATTTCTTCACCATCCTTTTATTTTTAGTCTTTCTTTATCTTCATTTTTCAGGTGTAGACATACTCTTGTAGACAGCATATTGATGGATATTGGTTTTTTATCCAGTCTTCTACTCTTCTTCTCTTCAATGGTGCATTCAAGCCATTCACATTCAGTGTGATTATTGAAAGGGAGAGTTTTATTACTATCATTTTGTTGAATTCTTTTTGGTGTTGTTGCTAGTTCCCTTGGTCCATGCTGCTGTCTGTGGTACCTCTGTTAGAAGGACATCTCTCAATGTTTCCTGCAATAGTGGTCTTGTTTTTACAAACTCTCTTAGGTTCTGTTTTTCTGGCAATATCTTGATCTCTCCTTCATATTTGATGGATAATTTTGCTGGATACAGTATTCTTGTTGACAGTTGTGTTCTTTGAATGTTTGATATATATCTTTCCACTCTCTTCTTGCAAGTATGGTTTGTGCTGAAAAATCGGCACTTAGTCTTAGCTCTTCTCCTTTGTAGGTTACTCTTTGTTTCTCCCTCGCTGCTTTCAGGATTCTCTCCTTTGTTTCTGGCAAATTTAACTATGATATGCCTTGGTAGTTTTGGGGTTCTTTTGGGGGAGGGGTGTCTATTCTATATGGTGTTCACTCAGCTTCTTGAAATCTATTTTCTCATTCTTTATTATGACTGGGAAATTTTTTTCTAGTTATTCTTCCATAACTTTTTTGGTGCCTTTCCTTGCTTCTTCTGTTCTGGAATTCTGATTATGCACATGCTATTTCTCTTGATGGTGTCCCACATTATTCTTAGGTTTTCTCCTTTTTCCTTTCTTTTTGATTCTGCTTTTTGTTCTAGCAGATCAGTGGTGACAATTCTATCTTCTGTCTCACTGGTTCTGTGTTCCATATCTTCAGCCCTGTTCTTGTGACCATCCGTCATGTTGACAGCATATGAAACATTGGTCCTCATATTTTGTATTGTTTTTCCAGAGCCTGTAATGCATTGTTTTATCTGCTTTGTTTTGGATTGTTTTTCTAAGCTCCTCCTGGTTTTTGTTTGCAGTGTTCTCTGTTATTTTTCAAGTTTGTCTTTCACCCATTGAAAATCATCAATCATTGTTCTTTTGAATTCTGTGTCAGAAAGTTTCATCAGACTTTCTGGCTTCAGGAAATCAAGTGATATTTTGTCACTTTTTTGCCGGGGTGGTGGTGATATCTTGCTTTGGGCCTATGTAGCGTGTGACCTAGCCTGGTTCCTACGTGATATTGCTGTGGTAGAGCTTTTCATGTCTGAGGTGATAGCAGGTTCTTGATTTGAAGTCACCACTCCAGAAGAGGGTGGGGCAGCTACTCTGCCTCAGTTTCTATCAGTTTGATAGAGAAACGGCCTGTGGAAGCAGCCTCCTCTGTCAGACAGCTGCCACAGATAGGGTAGTCCAAGGTCCTCTGGGTTAAAGGCAGTTGATAGACTGGATGTGAGGGGATGCAAGGCAGAGTGCGGTGAACTGATTGGAAAACCAGGAAACCTTGGTTTTCCCTTCAAGAATGAGTTCCACCTTTCTTAAATGAACTTAAGCGTTCTCATGTAATCCTGCCAAAGAGCAGTGATACCACCACCACCACCCCCACCCCAAAGTACCTCACTGAAGTTCCATTGTCACTCCTGGTGTATGTTGAGAACTGTGTTCTGGGCACGGGCAGGTGGTGTCAGGACCAGAGTTCTGGGCATAGGACTGGAGTTCTAGGCTCACACTCAGATTCCAGCTTTCCTGTTCATATGTGTCAGCAGCTCCCTAGCATGTGTGTTGCAGCAACAAGCTGTTCTCCAGTGCATGAGTGACATCAGGAGGCAGCTTTCTGGCACACGCCAGGCGTCAGCAGGCAACTCCCTGGCACACACCAGGCATCAGCAAGCAGCTCCTCGACTTGTGCATAGATTCAGGAAGCAGCTCTCTGGCACATGTCTGGTGTCAGGAGGCAGCTCGTCAGTGCATGCCCGGCATCAGCAGGCAGTTCCCTAGCGCACATGTGAAGTCAGCAAGCAGCTCTCTAGTGCATGCCTGGTGTCAGCAGGCAGCTTCTTGGTGCATTCCCTGCATCAGGAAGCAGCTCCCTGGCACATGCCCAGCCTCAGCACGCAGCTCCCAGACATATGTGTGACATCAGCAGGCAGCTCCCTGGTGCTCATGTGGAGTAAGGAAGCAGCTCTCTGGCAGCTCCCTGACATGCGTCCTGTGGCATGTGTCAATAGTCGCTTCTGATATCTCTCACTAATCTTCAACTGTCTGCCCTGGTGGTCCATCTGCCCTGGCAGTCCATCTGCCTTCGATAATAAAATTCTTGTATTATATTTTTATTTCATTTTTTTGTTTTTGTACATTTTCTTACCTGTTCCTTTCCCTTCCCCTTCCCCATTCCTCCCCACAATGCATCTCTTCTTCTAGATTGTTGTCACACATATAATACCTAACCATATATTCTTTGTGGACAGTTCTTTCACTCATTTGTTCATTAGCTACCTAGTCTTTTTCCATTCTTTCCACAACCCGCCCACCTCCATGTTATTTTTGTCATGAAAGGTGAAAAAAATGGAAATGGATAATGGTGATGGTTTAACAGCATAATTAATTTTAACGTTTTTGTCTTGTTGTTAACTAATTCCAAAATCTGTGCGACCTAAGTCAACATTTTTTTATTGTGATTTGAGTGAAAGTTTAGAGAGTAAATTGGTTTCTGTTCACTAATTGATGTTGCTATTGTTGAGTGCCACTGAGTTGTATATTCAGTGACCCTATAACAACAGATCTGAACCCTGACCTATCTTGCATCATTCTTTTCATCTCTGACACTTTTGAACCCATTGCCACAGACACTGTATCAATCCGTCTCCCTGATTATTCTTCCCTTTCCAAGGAATAGCCTTTCCTAACAACATGTCCAAAATATGTGAGACAAAGCTTTGTCATCTTTTCCTCCAAGGACCACTCTGGTTTCACTTTCTTGAAGACTGTTCTTTTGGAAGTCTGTTGAACACTCTTCTCCAACACCACAACCCAAATATATCAGTTCTTATCTATTGTTCAGCTCTTAGATGCATAACAAGTTATTGGAAAGACTGTGGTTTGAATCAGTCCCAGTTGATGTCTCTAAACTAACATCACTGCTTTTCAGGACCTTGGAAAGATCCCTGACAACAGAATTTCTCAGTGCTATATATCTCCTGATTCCTGGTACTGAAGATATTGACTGTGGATCCAAACAAGATGAAATAGTTGACAGTTTCAATCTTTTCTTCATCTATCATGATACTGTCTACTAGTGAAAATTACTGTTTTCTTAATAGTGAGATATAATCATATTGGAGTCTGTAGCCCTTGATCATCTGCAGCAAGCATCTCAGGTCCTCCTTTCTTTGAGCAACCAAGATTGTGTTGTCTTTGTAACACAGGTTGTTGTTGATCTTCCTCCAATCCTGGTGCCATACTCTTCTTCATAAAATCCAGGTTCTCTAATGATTTGCTCAGCTTACAGAGTGGATAGATACAGAGAAAGGATACAAACCAGACATGCACCTTTTCCAATTTTAAACCAGTAGTGTTCCATTGCTCTGTTTGTACAACTTCTTGGTCTAGGTATAGATTTCATATAAGCATATTTAAGTTTTCTTAAATAAGTGTTCTGGAAAGAAATGTTCCATTCTTCTCAATGATAGCCATAGTTTGTTATAATCCAAATAGTTAAAATACCTTTTCATAGTCAATAAAACACAAATAGACATTCTTCTGCTTTCAGTCATAATCTGATGGTGATCTCTGGTTCCACAGCCTCTTCTAAACCCAGTCTTCTGGGAATTTTCTGTCAGTGTAATGTTGTAGCTATTTTTGGATGATCTTCAACAGTATTTTGCTCATATGTGACTGGTTTTATGATAGTAATTATAATACCCATACTGGCCATACTCTTCCTACTCTTACAGTTCTAATTTCCACAATTCCTTCTGTCCTTTCTGCCTTCTAAACTTCATCTCTGGGAAAATACTACCCTTTTAATATTGCATAGTTATTTCTTCCAAGGAATGAATATTTCCTTTATATTGTTTTTCCACTTAGATAAAAGATGAGCCATAGGGATCAGTTCATTTCCAGGTTTGAAGGGTGACTAAGAGCCATAGTGTCCGGTGTTTCTACAGTCTTTATTGGACTTGGAAGTCTTCTTTCATTATTTATATTTCTCTTGGTCCTTGCCACTTTATATACTAAGAAATTTTTTCTTGAATGTCACCTATTTGTTTTAAAAAGAAATTGTGATCATCAAGAAAGTGATTTATTTTTTTTCAGCAGAGAAAATGAATTCTTTTATTTACTGAGTAGACAGAATACATGCTAATTACTTTAAACCAGTCATGGACTATATCAGAGCCTTTTCCATTTTAATTTCAATCTTATTATCCACTTTAAAAGTGCTACTTCAACTGCAAAATAGAATTAACTGTTCCTCTGTAATTCCAGCCTACTTTGTACATGTTGCCAACTTCTGCAAGTCTTCTTTTGGTATGTATTAATATATATGTCTCTTGTCAGATCTTAGGCATTTTGTGAACAGAAACCTTGTTTGTTTTCATTAATAGTATTCTCAACACCTAGGATAGGTCTAGGCCCTTAATGGAAACCCAGTTTGTATAACATATTTTATATTACCCTGTAAAGTTACAAAAAAAGCAAGGAGTATATAGCAGGTTTTTTTCAGTTAACTTTTAGATTAGTTACATTGGTTGGTTTTTTTTCCCCCCTTATCATCTAGTTCTGACCACTTCAAATAGAAAAACAATATGCTGTTACAGGAACAAGTATCATTCAAAGATGTGTGTGTAGACTTTACCCAGGAAGAATGGTATCTACTGAATCCTGCTCAGAAAATACTCTACAGAGATGTGACACTGGAAAATTATAGCCACATTGTCTCAGTAGGTAAGGTCTCCCTCCCCAACTCCATGTGACTTTCAGCATGCATATCTATATTGCAGAAAAACCCAAGTTTCCTGTAGAATTTTCCATTTTGAAGCCAGAGATCCAGCATTCTGAATCGAATGCATTTAGTCATTATTATTTTTCTTACTCCCCAGAAATTGGTTCATTTTGATACTTCCTTTAAATAGCTCCTCAATCTATATCTTTCATCCTTGTAATGTTTTCATGATCTCTGAAACCAACATGTTTAACTCCTGCCTACACTGTTTTCTCTTAACAGGATGTTGTGTCACTAAGCCAGAGGTGATCTTCAGGATAGAGCAAGGAGAAGAGCCCTGGACATTAGAAGAGGGAGTCTCAAGCCTACACAATTCAGGTGGGTTAGTGAGTTTGTAAGTGGAAGAAATCCAGAGGAAATTAGGTCTTCGTTTAGGTTTAAGGCTTGCCACCTCAGTAACTTCCTTTCTGGGCCACCGATCTTTGAGACTAACCAACCAACCTTCAACTCCTCTTCCTCAGGTACCTAAGTCAGACCTTCATATGTCACTCTCACTCATAAATGTTGTTGTTGTTATGTGCCGTCGAGTCGCCTACGACTCATAGCGACCCTATGTACAACAGCCCTAAACTCCTCTCTGTCCTGTGCCAATTGCAC